AGACCTCATCGTTGCTCACGGTCAATCATATTCTCAGCATCCTTCTGTTGAAACACATCTCCGCCACCTCGAGTCTCTTTTTCATCTTTGATGATACCGTCCAACATTTGCTGCCGTGTCGGAGGGTAGATGTCACTTAGCAGCTCAGTACGCTTTTCTTTGTCGCCATAGAAATCCTCCTGTCTCTCTACCTAGCTTTTGGAATGCATCCTTGGCCATCCCTATCCGTCTTAGGATCTCAGCGTCGCACCTACCGTCCTCCGTCAAAACACTTCCCAGAGCGAGACAAGGTTGCAAATCATTACACTACGTCGAAGTGGTCCTTTCTAAGCGTAGCTCAGATATGGTACAAGGCCGAAATTATGGAGCACCCAATTAGGTTCGAATTCAGTCGTAACTTAACTAGCGATCAAGCTTGCTAACGATCACGCCACATCGAAATGCCCAAACGACATAGAAATTGCCAAGAAGCATAAAAAGATTCTGCAGCGGTCCACGTTTAAAAAAATGAATGTTTTGTAGTAGAGTTGTCTCGTTTTCAAGTGTTATATGCTTTATTCCTTTCAATTTAACAATAATGCCAACAACACTGAGAAAGACCAGATGATATGTGTTAAATTGATGTCATCATTCGCTTGAAAATAGACACCCTGACACCGACCCTACCTTGAGTTAACCTCTTTCCGAAAGTAAATAATATGTTGGTACAATATGTTAACTCTTACGCCCTCAATTAAAATAATTGGTTTCTCCGTTTCCATGTAATTAATATTACGAATGTATATGCTTATAAAGCTCCGTAAATTTCAAGATTAGTTATTCCAAAATACGCTTGAGGATGAAACAGAGCGGATTTTTTAACTTCTGTTTTTTAAATTTGAGAGCTCTTATGTAGCAATGAAATCATATTTAATATATATATATATATATATATATATATATATATATATATATATATGTATATATATATATATATATATATATATATATATATATATATATATATATATATATAGCTAGATTAGCGTTTGCCAAACTATTTTTACGCCATCGCCCACTTTCACATGGAAAAAAATCCCCCACCAAACTTTATAGTGAATATTCAAAAGTATACCAAAATTGTTTAGTAAAAGTTTGTTACTGGTTCGTAAACTGACTTTATGATATAGAATACAAATACCATATAAAGGTAAACATGTTAGATTGAAAATTCCGTTAAATGCAACTAGACGAGACGAAGGAATAATATTATAAACTAGCATTATAATAATCAAATATTCTAGTCTAGTCTAGTCGGCACCCGCTCGAATCCGAGCATCGGGATCGTCATCCTGTTTCTTTATCCCTTTCTCGCGTCTGGTAGCAATGGCGAAGATGGCTGTGAAGAACCAGCCTACTCCTGGAGAGTGCTGAGCAAGAGTTACGAAGGAGTGTGAGTTGTAGACGCGGCTAGGCAAGTTGGGCCCTCCTGACAGAACGCTGTAGATCCTCTTCTTGTTGTCGGTTGGACTCGAAAGTCTCAGTCCCCTCACCAGGCGGGGTGGGGGGAGTCAATTTGCAGCAACAGTTTGCCAGGTTTCAGGGTCGGTGTTGGCCTGTGTCGGGGATGTTTTCAACTGATCCCCGAAGTGTCGTTTTGGGCCTGCGCGTAACCTCTAACTGCTGGCGAGTACTCCAAACAGATTCATTCAGGACACATGACACGCCCAAATAATATAAGTAAGTACAGATTAAAATGGCATTCAATAGAGACAGCTGGCTTAAAAAAACTTTGCTAAATAGATTTGCCTAATTTCTCGTTGGACAGACATCTGAAAACTAATAAAGTTTAGCTGCGCAAGTTTTAAGGAAAATAACAAGACAAAAATTAAAAAGAGCTAGCAATTTTGGAGAGACATAAAAGCCTAAGTCCTCAAGGCGTACAGCGCATAGAAGATAAAATGACCAAAGGGAGGTAACCAATAAGGCAGACTTATGTGGCTGCTGCTGCTACTAATGTATTAAAGAACAGACGAAATTAAACCATTGAAAATTATAGTGTTTTTCTAAGCATAACTTAGATGTGGCACAAGTCCGAAAGTATGGGGCACCCAGTGAGAACCGAACTCACGACTCCGTCGTAATTGACCTAAACCATTGGAAATTATATATATAATTTTGTTTTATGGTCAAGGTTAATTTTACGCTTAAAAAACGATATTTCTTCATGATTAAAAAGAAATAAAAGAATATACGCTATTGCAACTAATAAAAATTCAGTTACTATTATTTTTGTTATTGTTGGTTTTGTCTTATCAGATTTATATCCTGAAAATGTTATTTCGACTGAAGAACTTGTTTAAATGTTAATAACTTTTCTCCAGACTGTAGAAAATACCAAAATATTCGTCGTTAGCGGGGATATTTATATCTTAACCAATAATGTGACCCATTTATTCTAATTTAGCCTCCTGTTTTATATATATATATATATATATATATATGTGTGTGTGTGTGTGTGTGTGTGTGTATACATATATATATATATATATATATATATATATATACATATATATATATATATATATATATACATATATATATACATATATATGCATATATATATACATATACATATCTATATATATATATATATATATATATATACATATATATATATATATATATATATATATACATATATATATATATATATATATATATACATATATATATACATATGTATATCTACACATACATATATATATATATATGAAGAAAAATATATGGAAAAAACAAACAAAAATCCTAATATCTTCAGGACATATTCATAAAACATAATTAACATTAGACTATATTCAATTCAACATGAAAAGACAATGGACATAAGATTAAGACTGAAGATGGTCTACTAGACCGAAACGTCCAACGTTGACATTATATTAACATTAAAACAGCATAATTGCAGAGTAAGATTTTTGATTGTTTTTTTCTGTATATTTTTCTTCATACTGTCGGATCTATATCTATATATATTTATATATATATATATATATATATATATATATATATATATATATATATATATATATACATACAGGTTATTTGAATATTTTCGTGTAGCATTTGTTGAAATACCTTTTTAATACGCAAAATCTTATATTGCCAATATCTCTAGTTGCTCATCATTTTCTGTTTGGTTGCTTATCGCCAACCCAACCGTTGAAATCGCCCACCGATGGGTGATATCGCCCAGGTTGGGAAACTTTGCCAATTTCCCATTTCTAGGGCCCAGATATTTGGCATCGGCATGAGAACAATGTACTGGGCTTGCTTGAATAAAAGTGAAGGTTATCCGGATCGATAGATATAATGACAGAAAAGTTGTGATAAAACAACAAAGATGAGGACATTAATCCGATTGTAAATCATCTAAAAAAAATTAAAAACACCTCATCCAAGAAATTTAGACAGAATGTTTTCATTCACATTGTCTCCAAAATTCTCCCAGATGCTGAAAGTAAAATTAAAAATGTATATACTAACCCCACAAAACTGTAAAACGCAATCCATTGATCCCAATTTGAAGACCTAAGTAGCGGCATCGGTGTTTAGAAATTCTCCCACTTGAGTGTAAAGAGGGAGGTAATGTTGTCCTACTGGAACCCACGGGACTAGTTTTTTATGCAGTGTCCCTTCAGGACATAAACGACCATGGCTCTCCACAGTTTCCCTTATTCTATTTCCGTAAATTACCATGTACTTTTCGGAGAAAGATACCGGATTTCGCTTGCTTTCTCCGAGTTTTTAATTCTGTGAGATTAGTTTGTTTGATTGTCTCATTTTCTACGGGTTATCAACCCTTTGCATGTTATTTAAAGCCAGAAAACATTTTTAGATTATAAGAATTTTATCATAAGATAATAATGGTTTGGTGATATATTTTAATAATTAACCCATAGATGGGGGATCACACGTGGATTCATGCCTTTCCCAAGAGTATTTGCGCGAAAGTGAATATAACGAACCCAAGCGGAAAAAGGAACTCGGGTCTACAGAGAAATTTTGGCCTACGGGTAAGGATACCCCACAATATACTCGGCCTTGTGCCACAACAGAACGGCATCACTATCCGGATTACTTCCGAGTGTGCTGGTCAAACTCTCTGACTCCGGGCATGTCTAAAGGCAGAGCCTCGTCTCTGGACACAGCTACTTGACCCCATTTTTTACGGGGTCTACAGGGAATTTTTGGCCGAGCCTACGCGCTCGGATACCCCACTATAAACTTGGCCTTGTGCCACATCCGGACGCGTGGAGTGGTTAGTGAATATCTCATTATACGGATCACTATTCGCTGGTTACTATTCGAGCGAGTATTATTGAGCAATTACTATTAGTGCGAGTGATATTCGAAGGCGTCTGACATCAGTATTGTTCAACGGCGTTACTATAGTTGTATCTGCGATTACAAAGTCTCTACTACAACGAGCATTACGAAAGTGACAACGAGTATTCGTTGACATTACAAAAGTGGCAACGAGTGTTCGTTGACATCACAAAAAGAAGTAACAATTGCACTTTATGCGTTAAAATATTTTTGATATTCTGGTATTGGAAAATAAAATAAAGTATAAAATAGAAAACAGAATCTAATATTTCAAGAATAGAAAATGACGCTTCCAGTGATGTTGATATTTAGGTCAATGGAAGTAACTTGTTTCCAGCAAAACAACCTTCTTTCCTTGTCTTTTAGGAGAGAGAAACAAGAACGTCTCCGGTTAGAGACAGGCTCCAAACACGGCTAATGGACTAAACTGAATTTGCTTTGCGGTTTAGTGTGACCCTACGGAGACCGGCCAAAAAGAGCCGTGTGTGACAGCGACTGGTTGAATCAGACATGACGACCAATCAATGGAAAATATAATGAGTGAGGGATGATGCGGAAGAGCCTAGCCAATGGTAAATGGCCTGTGGGTCGTTGGCTTTAATCTTACGGATTGCGAAAAATATCGGTCGTAGACATCTCCCTCGCTTTCTCTCCCTCTCAGTTTCTTTCTCTCTCTCTCTCTCTCTCTCTCTCTCAACCTCTCTCTCTATATCTCAACCTCTCTCTGTCTGTCTCACATTTACATAAAGTTCTTCTTTTCCCATACATCATGCATAAATTAATGTATTTTATATTATTACTTAGTTTGTTTATCTATCTATCTATCTATCTATCTATCTATCTATCTAACATTATATATATATATATATATACCAGTCTGTATCTATGTATCTATTTCAGTGTTTATATATATATATATATATGGATGTGACTATGTATCTGTATTTCTGGGATTCACTCACTTTCTATCTATTTCAGTCTGTCCATATCTATCTATCTATCACAGTCCGTTCAATATCTATCTATCTATCTATCTATCTATCTATCTATCTATCTATCTTAATCTGTTCATATTTATCTATCATAATCGATTGATATTGCCTTTAAATTTTTGATGATTAAAGTTGGCTGGAAAGCATGGAGCCAGAAGGGAGTTCAACAAGAAAGAAGTGCGAAAGAAAAAAAAAACTTAGCATATCTGTCTATCTATCTCAGTTCGTTCATATCTATCTATCTATCTATCTATCTCATACTGATTCAGTCTATCTGTCTGTCTATCTATATCTATCTTATTGATTCTATCTATCTAGCTAGCTATCTCAGTCCGTTTCTTTTTCTTTCTTTCTTTCTTTCTTTCTTTCTTTCACTGCCATTGAGCATATTATTCTCCCGTCATCTCCTCCTCCTTACAATCTATTATTAATTTCTTTTCCTCTGCGCACGCGCGTGTTTGTGTATGTTGTTGTATTAAAAACTCTGTCTTCATCATATCTCAGTTTGTTCGTTTCTAGATCTCTTTTTATGGCGCAATGAGGGATATTTTAACTAGAATTCATCTCGGTAGTGAGGTCGACCTTCACTCCCAATCCCAATACCATGGGGTTGTTTCAGGTACAGCCAGGCTACGGTAAGTCTATTTATCTATCTATCTATCTATCTATCTATCTATCTATCTATCTCGGTCTTGTCATGATCTATCTATCTATCTATCTATCTATCTATTCATCTATCTATCTATCTATCTATGTCAGCCTTGTCATGATCTATCTATCTATCTATCTATCTATCTATCTATCTATCTATCTCGGTCTTGTCATGATCTATCTATCTATCTATCTATCTATCTATCTATCTATCTATCTCGGTCTTGTCATGATCTATCTATTCATTCATTCATCTATCTATCTATCTATCTATCTCAGTCTATCTCAGTCATCTATCTATCTATCTATCTATCTATCTCGGTCTTGTCATGATCATCTATTCATTCATCTATCTATCTATCTATCTATCTATCTATCTATCTATTATCTATCTCGGTCTTGTCATGATCTATCTATCTATCTATCTATCTATCTATCTATCTATCTCGGTCTTGTCATGATCTATCTATCTATCTATCTATCTATCTATCTATCTATCTCGGTCTTGTCATGATCTATCTATCTATCTATCTATCTATCTGCGTGTCTGTCTCAATCTCTTTATATCTTTTATATCTCAATCAGTCTGCCTATCTATCAAGCTAGCTAGTTTGCTCAATCTCTATCTATCTATCTATCTATCTATCTATCTCAATCTTTTTTATATCTTAATCAATATATCTCAATCTGTTTGCCTATCTAGCTAGCTAACTAGCTCTCTAGCTAGCTCAATCTATCTATCTATCTATCTATCTATCTATCTATCTATCTATCTATCTATCTATCTGTGCGTCTGTCTCAATCGTTTCATATCTTAATCTATATATCTCAATCTATATATATAGCTAGCTCAATCTAATCTATATAGCTAGCTCAATCTCTTTATCTATCAATCAATTTATCTATTTATCTCAATCTATCTATTTATCTCAATCTATCTATGTATTCTGTTCAAATTTTTTACGTCAAAATTGCGTGATTTGTTCATACTAAATAAGCCACAAGGAAAGCCGGAACTCGTGGATTTATTTTCAAAGCTTGCATGGCTGAGTTTGGTGAAGAACGGCCTTTATAGAATGCGATCCAAATAATAGAGGCAGAGAAGCAATGACGAATAAAAGAAGATTTTAAGACTACTATACTGAGATAACTCAATAAGCAAACCAAGTATAACTTAAGAAAGAACAGAAGATGAACTTGATTGATTCGTAGTCATACAGTAATGTGGACTCATACAAAAATTCAACGGATGTTCACTGTGCCGACACAAAACTTCATCAAAAAGGACTTAATGACTGAAATCAATTGAATGCTTTTGTACAAGTTTGCGAGTTTTTTTCAATGGAGTAATCCACTGTCTTAATATTGGGTTATTAATATTAAGTCGAAAGACGCGGAAATATTCCACGGTTTTTCTATTCTTCTGCTAATGATTGAATAAACTCATGGCGAGTTCAATGACAATAAAATATCCGTAAAAAAAATTCCCATATCTCATCGTTTTGAGCTTAAAAACATTAACAAAATATTGCAATAACAATCATAAATATGAATGCTTGTCGTTATTTTAAGAAGTAAGGGGGTACAAATGAAGAGATTTTAAATTGACTACTTTTTTCCATTTCACTGAAACAGACGTTAAAGGCATTTATTTTCCCTTCTTTCTTTCTTTCTTTCTTTCTTTCTTATGTCTTTTGATTTTCTAAGCAGTGAAAGCGGAATAGTCCATTAATTACGAGGTATTGACAGGAGACGTTAAATCTTCCCTTTTTTCTTTCTAGCCAAATCCCCATCTTAGGAATATTTCTCATTAATGATGAATTGAAAATAATTCAACATTCTTATTTTATATATGGTAACTAGATTTTTGCCGATTGCCTTACTCGTTTTCCGCCGTTCGATAATGTGCATATCTATCTATCTATGTCACTCCGTTTCTTTCTTTCTTTCTTTCTTTCTTTCTTTCTCAGTCCGTTTCTATCTATCTATCTATCTATCTATCTATCTATCTATCTATCTATCTATCACTCCCTTTCTTTCTTTCTTTCTTTCTTTCTTTCTGTTGTGGATTCCGAGATGAAATCCGGTCTCAAATGAATGACAAACGCAGGAATGAAATATAGCAAATAAATGTATTGACGTAATAACACAATTGGTAATATGGTTACTAGATTCAGAAATGCGGTTAGTAGCAATAATAATATATATATATATATATATATATATATATATAGTCTGAGAAATTCAGTATCGAAGTAGGACTTCCTTCTGAGTCTACGTGCTCACAGCTGTGACTCCTACAAAGCGGTTACCTCACATACTCAGTGTATCAGTGTATCTCTGTTACTCACTCAATCACTAAGTCCCGGGCATTCACCGGCAGCAGTACAGGTACACTCTGGTCGAGTCCACTTGTATGAAAAAGGGGTGGACCCCATAACACTTTCTAATCTTTCTATCTATCTCAGTCCGTTTCTTTCTTTCTTTCTTTCTTTCTTTCTTTCTTTCTTTCTTTTCTGATCAGCTTAATCCGATTCTCTCTCTCTATTTCTTTTTATTTTCTCACTGAAACCAATTAGTGTTTTCCCACTCTTTCCACGCAATCGAAACAGGATAGTCCATCATATACGAGGTATTGGCAGGACGTAACGGCCTTGCGAACTACTAACAAAGATAATATAATGATATTTAAACTTAACAAGAAACGGTTTTCAAACCGTTCACTAAGATTACTGCATGCATGAACGTCGCGGAAAAAAATGTATATTCTTTAATAATAGTATATATACGTATGCAGTATCTACACGTTACATTTATAGATTCAAATATCTAAGTAAATGCTCTTTTTGTAATAAACAGTATTAACAACATTTACCGGCCTGAATGTACGAGAAATTCCATAAAAAATATCTGTCTTCTGACAGGAATCGAACTTGTATCCGACACAGGACCGCTATGTAGCCTGACGTGCTATACCAATTAGCGTCTGGTTAGCAAGGTCGAAGTACTTCTTTTAAACTACAAATTTCCTAAGATTTCTCTCGAACGCTCATATCTGCTCGAAGCGTATCTTAACCTTGCTAACCAGATGCTTCCTCGAGCTAAATTGTATAGCACACCGGATTATATGACGTTTCCATGTAGGATACAGGTTCGAGGACACATATTTTCGAACATTCAGGCCGGTAAATGTTGTTAATACTGTTTATTATAAACAAAGCATTTACTTAAATATTTGTATCTACAAAAATAACGTATAAACAGAAAATATGTTAAAATAACTTTCAGATGTTGAAGCTTCGTGTGTTCGTTTTAACCTCAGCAGTGTTGCATTTCCGAACGTGCGTGCCATCATAAAACTCTAGGCACTGTACACTCGGGTTCTCAGTAGCCGCAAATATGTTCTCATCCTCAGGTCAATGGGTCGGACAAGATAAGCTGTCCATCCAACCAACGCTCTGCCAGTCGACGACTCCGATGTCAGCCCGGGGCACATCGTCCGTACCGCCCCTCACTTGTACGTAAAACGCAGACAGTGTGGATGATTTATATAGCTCGTGTCTGGAAAGTATTGGTAATATAACTTTAAAAGGAAATACTTCCATAGATGAGAAAAAGTAAAGAAGTCTTTTCTCTCTCTCTCTCTCTCTCTCTCTCTCTCTCTCTCTCTTTCTAACGTCATGTCACTCCAGGACGTAGGTGATCGTGTCTATACACAAAATTATATTTTTTTTTTATTATCACTGAACTGCCATGACTGAGAAAAGATAGTAGAATAGTTTCAGATTGCGTTTTTTTTTAATCATTTCCTCCCAAGCAAGGCAATAAAGCCACTAAGACGCAAAAGGTTACTGAGTGCGCAAGAATATGAATAAAACATATTAACGAGCGAGAACAACGAAAGAACAAGAACTAAGAAGACAAAAGATATCGATTGACATCGCATTTAATTCTTTGACTCGACTAGAAAGAAAGAAGTCGGACGTGAGATCCACAAGTAAGAAGTGCGATAGAAGAAAATGTTAGCATAGAACTTACGGTTTCATCTAGCCACTTCAAGTATAAAAGAGTAAGGCCTGCGCTTAAATTCATAGAATCTGGGTACCATAGAGAAAAGTTCACCACAGCAAATTACCGTGATAGTACTTAGAGAAAATGAACAGGAAAGCTACATTATGTCAGTGCGAAAGTGACTGAAGCTACTATGCCAGGTCAGGATCAATAACATTGCAGATTATTTTATTTTATTTTATTAGGCCTCTCTAAATATATATATATATATAAAGACCAGGCAACAATATTCAAAGCATGGACAAATGGCATAATTATAAATATGTAAGATCGATTACAGCGAGAAAAATTGTCTATCACGACGCAGGGACGTAACTTTCCTAACAGCAGACCTAACAACTAATTCAATATAATCTTTCCAATTCATGTTATTGGAAAATGTTAGGCCGAGAATACGCAACGTGTCACTGTCCTGGAGGTTAGCATCAGCCATGCTAATGGAAGACAGAAAGGGTTCTCTCAGACGATTAATAGAGAATAGTTTCGTTTTGTAGGCGTTTCAAGTAACAAGCCATTCCTTGCCCTAGTTAACAACAGAATCTAGGCCATGAACTTAAAGAACCAAGCACGGTTACTATTAAGACAGGAGTAAATAATTGTGTCATCAGAATAGATAATGAGTTGAGAACTGATGCCATCAGAAAGGTTGATGTAAATTTGGAACAACGTAGATTCAAGAATAGATCCCCGGGGGAAACATGCATTAAAGATGAAAAAAGATCTAGAGGATTAGCCGTTCAAGGCGACCTTCATTTCGCGATTTAATAAGAAAAACGGAAACAGTTCAAAAAATTTATCTAGAAATATAACAATTTCGTGAGGAATAACAATATGCCAAATGCTGTCAAATGTCTTCGATCCCACCATCGTTATCTAAAACTTTATAGACCTAGCAATAACCTTTAATAACACACCGGTTGATCTAGAGAAGCGAAAGCCATCCGAAAGAAGAGACTGCGAGGCGAGCTTCTTGACCAATTCAGAGCTGGTTAGAGCCTCTATTTCTTTGGCAAAAGGAGGTAGAAGGCTAATAAACCGATATTTCTGACGGTTCTCCTGAGTTCTTAACGATTCGAACGACAGAAGAGGATTTCCAAGGAGCACGATAGCAAGAAGCGCTAAGGCATTGCATGTAGAGTTTAGAGAGAACATGAGCCAGTTCAGAAGCACATTTCTTAAAGTCTAGTGTAGAGATTGTGAGAATAAAGTTTAGAGATAAAAGTAAAAACTATGGACAGAAATATATGCATATCACTCAACAGAAATTCAGTTTTAAGTGGGGAGTCTGGCAAAGATATTCCAGAGTGAGATCTGAAGGGAATTTATCAGCAAGACATTCAACAAGACATTAAACAGAAGATATTAACACCTAAAATTGTGTGAAGAGAGAATAGAAGACTTCAGCTAGTTATATATGCCAGGCGTGATACACACTTAGGCGATCATGTATCTTTCGATACATGACTGATGAAGCAGATTTTTTTTTCCCGCAGTCTAACTGGGGGAATAAGATGAGGATTCTTATCTTTTCCTTTGAAACGGGGTTTTGTTAGTAATACCTACTCACCGGTCACTTTATTAGGCATATTTTCTGGGAGCCTTTTTTTTTTAAATTTGGGTCCAGGCTCTCATTAAGGGATCCGGAAAACGCTTAGTATTTTCTCATATGTGCTGTGACCCTTTCAGTAAGACCCTTGAGTGAATGTAACAGATTCGACTAGAATTCGAACTCGGCTCTCCTATTCCACAATGCGAGCCGCTATGCATAACATTCATATTTTTAACACACTATTACAGAGCCGGCACATGTCATGAGAGCCAAACTTGTCAGAGGCTATATGATGCCTCATTCTATCAGCAAACCAAGACTTTGCATCTTTGAGGAAATGTTTACACTTAATCCATTCATCATTTCTCCTTTCTGTAAGTTCTTTAAAAATCAACCGGGGAGGGTGGGGTCAGACTTTCAGACCGGATCCTTTTACATATAACAATATTCTGAGATGATAGTATTCACATTCTTTTTGACTGTCTACCCCCAATACAAAATTGATGAGATTTGACCATGAGCATGAAAACAGTTTGGCCCTCATCTGAGATATTTGTGCTCTCGTTGAATCGAAGGAAAAAGTCAGACTTGATATTCTTTTTAAAATGTTGGGATTCATTAGCTTAATCATGAAATCACAAAAAGTAATGGTTGTTCTCTATGATTAGATAGAATTAACTTTGCAACAATGATTATTGCATTTATCTTCCGATGGATGCTCTGAAAACAGTTTGGCCCTCATCTGAGATATTTGTGCTCTTATTGGATGATTCAGGAGGAGAATTGGAAGAGGATTTACGAGAAAAACATTCGGATTTATCCGTAGTTGTTAACACCTCAAACCGAGTGAAGAGAGAAGGAATAGAAGACTTACTCTTATTTAACACACTATTACAATGCTGGCACATGTCATGAAAACCAAACTTGTGAGAGGCTATAAGGCACCTCATTCTATCAACAAACAAAGAATTAACCATTTTGAAGACACGTTTAGAGTTATTACGAACGGGCACAAATATACGTCTGTTGTGACTGGAACTATCACCCTGGTACACACAGAAAAAAACATTTCTGTGAGGTATAGCGGCTGAACAGGCCGGCGTTTACCAAGGAGAAAATCTTGGTTTCACGTGGTATTTCCGAGAAAGAGCTTTAAAGGTATCGATACCGGCTTTAACCAAACAAGACAGCTCTGTGACACAATTTTCAATAGGAAGGTTTTATGATTTGTCTTTCATACCTTCTCATAAATTGGTTTCCAGCCAAGGCTATAGAGTTCAGTCTATCTCACTATTTAACCCATAGCTTTGGGTGTAGCCAATCTTTAGAAATCTCTAAGTAAACCTAATCTTAAAAAAATAGATCGAAAATAACCCCTAGCGAACAGTGTTCGAAATGATCGGGTAAACCCCTACCAAAATTGATAAGAATGAACTAATATATAATACTAACATCTCATCTCAGATATTCTGACAGAAAGGAGGTCGGTTTTCATTTATTGGTCGAAATGATCAATTCTCGGGGATTATATCTGTTTCTTTATTTTTTGGGATTTCCATGTCATGACCCTATGGGATGTAGGTAATCTTTGCTCTCCACTAAATCATTCCGTGGCATCTGTCCTCCTTTACGGCAGCGAATGTTGGACGGTCTCCTCGAAGATGAAGAAGAGACTCGAGGCGACGGAGATATGGTTCTACAGAAGGATACTATGGATATTATGGATCGAACATGTGAGCAACAATGAGGTCTTGGTGATGATGCGAACACGGAGGAGGCTTATACTTAACATCAGGAAGAGGCAGCTGAAGTTTCTGGGACACGTAATGAAAAAGAAGGGCTTGGAGAATCTGATACTCACAGGTCGAATAGAGGGAAAGAGAGACAAGAGAAAGCAACGCATGACATACCTGGCAAGTGGATGAAAAAAATTGATCTGGTGGATAATGAAAGTAATTG